AAACAATAATTCGATCTTACCACATGTAAACAAGCTGCTAGGCCTATGTATCAGTTTTTACCTCCCCTCGCTTCCCATCACTTCCGTTACTTCCGTTACTACGGTTGTATTATTGAGCGGCAAATTTGAAGCAATAAAAAGCAACGAAATTTTACACCCATATTTATTTAATGATTTTAAAATTAAATTATAAGGAATGACTCTAATTCTTGGCCAAATTATTCGAGTATAACCTGCTTTGGGTCAGTTTACGCTGTTTTATAATCCGCTTCGCGGATTATAAAGCGTAAACTGACCCAAACCAGGTTATACTCGAATAATTTGGCCAAGAATTAGAGTCATTCCTAAAATACCCAGTGTATACATGTTCTTTTAAAACCATTTAATTTTACAAATTCAAACAAAATCGTTATTCTAGGACGCAATTTTTCTCATGATTAACTAGATTTGATAGCAGTTAAGTTTCCAGTTCCAGGCATGTGAAGCTCAAGATCGCTGTTTGTTTTAAGAAATGAATTTAATTTTTGAAGATTCATGAGGACATGAACTACGACGCGTCACGCCGGCATATTTCATGAAGCGCGTTAGCGCTTCATGATAAATATGCCGGCGTGAAGCGTTGTAATTCACGTACCTCATGAATTTTCAAAAATTAAATTCATTTCTTATATTTACATTATTTTTCTGATGAGTTTCCATAAGTTACGCCATTCAACTGTCATTTTTGAAGCAAAACAGTTTGCACTATAGTTTTGACGTCAAGTACAGTATTATGACGTAACAATGGAGATATTCATGCTCATCTCATGGTAGTCAGGCGCGTAGCTGCCTATACGCAAATACGCAAGTGCGTACACATCATTTTCAGGAAAAAAGAAAAAAGAGGATTATTCGGAGAAAAAAATCTCAGTACCATCCAACAAAAATTCGTGTTTAAAATTATTCTGTGTCATACTGTGTTGATTTAAGAGCCATTCTCTGTAATGACTTGAAATTTTATATAGGGGCTGTGGCACGCATAGTCTCAGAATTTCTCCAAACTCTCTATGATAAAAGTCTTTGATACCGTAAACTCAAATCAGGCAAAAATTGGTTGCTACGTGTCATGGTTACCATAGCAACATGTCCTAAAGTTTGAAAAATGGCATTTTTCAACATCTTCAGAGTCCCACAGTTAACGTTTGCAGCAAAGCAAACAAGTGGCAATGACTGTTTCTGAAAGCTAAAGGCCTGGTGTCTTAAATGCATGATAAACATGTTTGGTAAATCATCTATAACATACGTTACTATGGAAACAATGTATTCAAAAGTAATAATTTTGTTCATTTACTTTTATAAAGTCATACACTTAAGAATAAAAACAATTATAGCTTGAAATGCGAGCAATTAATAGAGAAGAGATCCTTGTAACATATACCAAGGACAAAATATGATATTTCTCATAGGTTGGCAGTGGTTGCCATGGTTTTAATACCATGAAGGGATTTTAAATTTACTCTCTTAGTGTTTTAATCTTATCCTATCTTTTTAAAAAGCATATTTCTATATAACTGATGATCAATTTTTAAAGACCTTGGTGTAACCCTAATTTTCACATTTCAAAAAATTCAATTTCAATTCTTTAAATAGTGCGTTGCTATGGAAATAAGGCGAAAAAACATGTATAAAAATCTGAAAAATACTCTGTTTCCTTGGATACGTACCGTTGTATGTAGATTCCCAAGACTTTGATGATTGATATATGTGAACAACTAACCTGACTTTCAATTTTGACTATCACCCAATCTCTAACTGGATGCAAAAAGCTGGCACATAGGGTCTAATATTGACAAAAAAATAACAAAATTGAACATTTTCTCTTCTTGGTAACCATAGCAACAGTGTTGTATTTTTCAATAACCTTTATCAATATATGATATTCAACTTTAGTTCTACGAGATAAGTACTATTCAGGGTGATTCAAATAATATTTTTCTTGATTAAAAGGTTAGTAAATACCCAAAGCAGCAAAAAAATATCACTTTAAACAACTAGTACTTTGTTTCCATGGTTACACTGCAAAGTAACAATTAATCTAAATTTTTCTTATGTTGTCGGTGTTGCAAGGTCCTAAGGATGCATATGTGCCATTCATGAATTTTATTGTTTTTCCTCACGATAGTAGCATTAACCCAATCATAGCAACAGTTTTTGCATGGTGACACTGTGTTACCATGGCAACCATGAAAGTTATTTTTAGAATAATATTGCCAATACCTAATTACATGAGGTCAAATATTTTTCATTGTTTTTCTTACGTTGTTGATTGAGTTTGATCATGTAACATCTATCATTTGTGACTATAGAGCGTTTTTCAGCATTTTTCAGCATCTAAAATGTATTCAAAATGTACCCATGGTTACCACTTACTTAGAGATTAATTCTAAATAGTTTCTTTATAGCATAAGTGGCAACAAGGTGTCATGTTTTTGGGAGAATGGTTTGTTTGTTTTTCTTAGTCTTTATTAAGACTTAATAAAGATTTAAAGTAGCTGAAAATCTCAATTTTTTCAACTTTTCTGGCTGTTACCATGGCAACCAAGACACATAGCAACGAAATTTTATTTGATATATGTTTCTGGTGTCAAGTTGTAATAATGGGCAAAGTTTCATCAAAATCGGTGACCATGCGTGGCAAAGAAGTTTAAGTGGTTACAGAGAATCGCTATTAAAATTTTAATTTATCATGGCTGTATGATCAAACATTGATATTTTTTTTTTTTAAATCTTTGAAAAATCAAATTTCAGCCACATCGTTGCACGAATGCTATAATCTACTAGTATGATTTACAGTACGATATTTTTTTTGTTCATAATTAAAATTTTGTATACGTGTTTTTGAACGTTAAGAATGATTACATAATACCAATTAATATATCGGTTAAATTTTTAGCCTCAATTACATGTACAATAAGTTTCCATGGAATATTAATTTTCGTTAAAACAATAAATATTACTATGTGAATGAAATATTTTGGTAAAACTCCGGAGCTACTGGGCGCTCACCAGCAGGCATGTAGTATCAGGGGAGCCTCCCCATTACTTATTCCCAAAACCCGGCTAACCTTTTACTATTGAAAAAATATACATTGAAAGGGTGGACCCCACTCATTGTTGCACTATTGTTTAATCATGGTAATTTGGTAATGTATTAATAAAAATTTGGTTTGTGAAAGATGGACACCCCTCCCACTCAACAAACAAACACACACAAGAAATAGGACTTCGAATTTTGACAATCTTCCTTTATCGTCCTTGCTTGACAAAATTTTTAAAGTTGTATTTTTTTCCTGGCTGGCAAAAGTTATATTACGACCCTGACCAGAGCCCTATAACCCTGGGGGGGGGGGGACTCAAGACCCTCCATCCACCCAACCCCCTGCCGTTCTCTGCGTACACATCATTTCTATTCTGGCTACGCGCCTGGTAGTTCATGAGAAAATGAACAATCATCTAATTTGCAAAGAATCTTAAGGAAAAATACCTGGAAATGTAAATATTTGAAAATGACCCTGCTCATATACGTGTACGTAAGGAGAGAGTTCAAGGTGCAAAAATAAATTGAGGAATTATTTCAATATTATTTCAAACCTAACCAAATGACGTATTTGGAGGTTATGGGGTTGGTGGTGGGAAGGCATCCCCCCTGCACACCTAAAATGTAGGAAGATTTTTAAAATACGACAACCCTCGTATGCTATTAAACTCATGTTAACTACAAGTATTGCATGTTTCTGTCATTTAACTTTTAACCCCCCCACCCCCCCCCCCACCCCCCACCCCTCACACACACAATCCAACCACTGGTCATTCTGGATCTGTTCCTTTCATTTTAAATGCATGTGAATTATAATTCATCCATTTGTTTATAATTTATCAACTTGCTTACTTAAAATTAATTATTCAAAAATTTTCCTTGCTGTGACTGAAAAAATGTGTATCATTTCAATTTTAAAAAAGAAGTTTTGTTACCACATGCGGGAAGAAGTCCTTCTGATTTTTTGTTTGAAGATTTTTTTTTATCGAATATTGCTTAACATGCAGTGTATCAACTTAATGTCCTTAAATTGTTGTACAGCGTATACGGTAACTCACTACATTTCACAAATTTTCTGTCTAATTATATTTAGAAAACAAAAACAAAAAAACCAACAAATTTCACTACCCAGCAGCATCTATTTTATTGTTGTTCCCGATAATTTTTTTGAAATATTTTTTAACTTCACATTTTGAAAGAGATATCGTTTATACTGGATTCAACACCCCACCCCACCCCCCCCACCCCCAAAATGACATCATGTCCTATCGAGAGCCATGCTTAAAATGAGAAGATTTTCGAATGAATTCTACAGGTTTCTCAAACGATTATTACACGAGATAAATACTTTGGTTTTGAGAGAATAAATTGATATTGAACAGAAGCCGCTTGCTTCTCGGGTTTTCCTGACATTCCAGCATAGTGAAATGTAAAACAAACACTCATAACTCTATACGCCACTGCATGATGGATAATAGTTGATACAACTATTTATTATCATATTATACAATTATTAAAAGAGAAAAGAGAATCAAAAATGTTTCTGGAAATCCTCAATTACATACATTTACTACCGTAATAACATTACAATGCAAAGTGAAAGTCATGTTCACTCTGAAAACTTTTGACGTTGGTGCGAAAGTAACATGACGTCATTGTTTACCTGTTAAAGTATCATTGATATAAATGAAGAAAAAAACCTACTTAGAGTTGACGTAGGGCCATAAAAATTCAGATTTGGCAACTTCTAACCTTGCTCTATTAATATCCATGAAAAACTTAAAATGTGTAAAAATTGCCATAAGGGCCCTTTTCCCATGGGCGCAATCAGTCATGTAATGATGTATGATAGTTAGTTCCTCGATGACATTGCTCGGTCGTTAGGTTTGGTAACATTCAGTTGTTCCTGTTAATTTCTTGGGTCATGGATGAAGAGGTGAGACAATTCAAAAGTAAGTTAGATGAACAAAAGTTTGATATCTCAATGTAAACTTCATTATCTGAAAAATTAAAAATATAAAGTTTGCCAAAAAGCTAACACACACAGAAACTATATGTACAATAATTCTGAGAAAGAATATTTAGTGAAGTTTTTATCTTGAGTTAAAAAGGACAAAATTAAAGAACGATCTATCTGAGATTTTTCAACGCTCTCACATTCATTTTTCAGCACATTTTTTTGTGTTTTTGTTTTCTAGCACTATGTAAATCTGCTTTATTAAGTTAAAAGCGTACAAACCAGCCTTATTTTCCCGGATCATACATGGTATCGGTCGCTTGTGACCAAAAGTTGACACTGAATTAAAGTTAAACCTAAATAAAATAACGTAACTTCCATTAGTAGATGGCCCAATGTCCTTGGAGGGCTCACTTAAATCGGGGGGGGGGGGGGGGGGTCAAACGTTAGGTGTGTATCTAACAGGATTAACAAATCGCTAGGAACTGAGAAACAAACTCTGAAATTTCATCCTTAGTATTTCATGAAAAAAAAGTTTCTAAGTCTGGTTATTGTAATTAAAGAGATAGAAAACATTTACTCTACAGTTGTTTTTTTTATTTAAATTTGTGTACGATAATTAATTGTCATATAGAATTTGAAATGAAAAATAAAATCTAAATTTGGAGGAGGACACAGTCACTGCTTTACTTGGCTCAGGACATTGAACGAAATCAGAAGACACGTGGAACGAGGGGCGAGTGGAGGCCAAGGAGCCGGCATCCCCCTAACCCCCCACCCCCACACACTTTTTGTGACATATTTCGTACATTTTATCTAGAAAAACAATTAAAAATTTCTTGTCTTTTTTCCCGTCGCCCACCCAACTTTGAAAGTTGTACGTCCCTACAGTCTACTCTCCTTCCCACCCACCAGAGATGAATATCAAAACAAAGCAGATATGCTAAAGCACCAAAATACATATAATTGTAAGTTGAAAAGGAGACATTGGCCCAAATTATAAATTATATAAATATCCCCTCCCCACTTTTTTTTCCAAACATGAAAATGAAAATGTTCATTGAAAAGGCTGGTTGCCCCCCCCCCCCCCCCCCCACCACCACACACACTTTTTGTTGCAGTATAGTCAAATCGTCCGATGGTAATGTATTAATAGAATTTGTTTATGGAAGAACAAAGAATCGCTCCACCACCGAAAGTACCCCCACAAAATAGGATTTTCAAGTTTAAAGACAATTCTCTTTTTTATTCTTTTTTTTCTTATCAAAGATGTCAAATATTTGCCCCCCCCCCCTTTTTCAGAAACGATTCTACGTGCCTGTGTCTAAATGCTAGGATATTCATTGAGAACTCAATAATTTTAAATTATAAATCAAATACAAGATACAGTGAAAACAACATATTCTGGCCTTAATTTTTATTGTGAAAATTATTCATTCCATCATTGAAAAATGACATTTTTGTTTTAATTGAAAGTCGATCTATTATCATTATTGATTGATGTTTTTAATATTTTTATTATCCGGAGATCATTCAGCTCTATATCTTTTTCAGAGATCTACTACTGCTAAATGTATGGAAACAATTTTACCAAATCACAAATATTTTCACGACTTTATAGTACTGGAAATCTTTCGCCAGTTCATAAGACATCTATAAATGAGATTAATAAGGATTAATCTATATGAATTTTAATATTGTTGAAGGCTTTTCACACTCCTGCCAAAGTTAGTGGTAAAATATTTTTCTTTGATTTTTCAAAAAATGAAAGCATTCTTACTGACCACTTAAAATTAATATGATTAAAATCCAATTAATTCAGACATTTAAACAAAAATGACAAGGCTCTGAGGTTAGGTAAACAGTACGCAGGAACGATATCGGCTTCATTGATAGAAGAATTTTACTCTATCCGGATTTTTCCGTCAATCCGTTTAACGGTGTAAGTGGTCATAACAGAGCAAGTATACATGTTTAAGTCCAAATTAAGATAATCTGGAGTCTTTTAAAAATGGGGTCCCATGTAGTAATAGCTCGACATGATGTTATCACAATGTTTCAAATACGCAAACGAGCGATAATCAACATACACAGCCGTGATCTCCATTATGGATAACTATAATGTATATATTAACATTTTATCTTTGGTAAGTATAAGATGTATACATTGAATTATTTTGTGTTGACCAAATTATGGTTTTCTTTTAAAACTAATATTAACAAAAATACCTTTAATATAATGCTTCATATCCATTTTTTTAACTTTAAAAATTTAAAAGCATCTTACACTGTACAAATTCTTTTAAATTTCCACATTTAAGATATTTCTACGCATTTTTTAAAGTTATGTTTTATAATTTCTATTGTAGACACTCGTTTGGCTAGGTAAGCTTTCTCGTCTTTATATATAATGCATAAACACCTTCGCATATCTGCACAATTCTTTTATATTTATTTATTTTTTGACTGAAGATTTTTTGGGGATTCTATTGTAATTAAAAAAAAAATAATATTGTACTTGTTTGCTTGTTTGAGTACAACTTTTCAAGAATTCTTCAAATAATTGTAATGAATTGAAAAATGAATACGGAGAATGTATCGCATTGTCTGGGTGGAGGTAAATACATGTACATGTATAAAAATTGTAAATTTTGCATTTACCCATTAAATTTTAAGTTTAGAACATAATAAAAGAGAAACTATAAGCAATCTTAAATCACGTTATTGTACAAGAATATTACACCTCTTGACACGCCACATAAAGATATACCAGTAACTGCTGTCCATTTTCAGACATGGAATCAAAACTCCATACTGACACAATTTAAGAAAATGTAATTAACATGTGAGGTTCAAACTAAATTTTTCGCCTATTCCTAAGAAGTTTTTAACAAAAGTTTTTTTTTAAATGGTCTATGATTTTGAAGCAAAAATGTTTTCTTCAAAACACAAAAGGTAACTTTCTTTGAAATATAGGAAGAATTCTTTTACTAGATTTCGTAAAAAATGACATGAATTTTTTTAACAACATTTTGAGCAACAATAAACCAAGTCAGATAAGCGTGAAAAATTCCGTAGTTTGTTTGAAAACGATTGACCAGTGTTATAAAATGTGAATGTATGTTTCAAATTGAGAAAATAAAACAGCTTGATTTTGATGGTTTATGTTCTGTAAATTTATACACATAGCTACACAGTTACAGAATAAAGAGCACACGAGAGAGCTGTTTTTAATTAGTACATGTATATCAATCTAACGAAAGGTCTGTGATATTTTACTACACTTATATGTACTTAAGATTATTATACAAAATAATATTGACTTCTGTCTGAACAGAACAAACCACTACTGGACGCTCGTATTAAATTGTTACTTTGTTGTGCTACACTAACGAGATACAGTAGCAATGTGTATCAACACTGACATAAGGACATTTTTGTTTGACTATCCGATATACCAACATAACACGGCGAAGGAGACTTAGCTGAAAAGTTTACGCTTAGAGTGGCGTAATTCTGAAGTGTTGGTTTTAAAGATTTTCCTAAAGATAGTTTGCTTGCCTAAGAAGGGAGATAAGACAGGAGGTAGAAGTTTCTGGTAATTTTTCTGTTAACTTTGCAATAAATGGTAAATGAAAAAAAAAGATTCGACTCTTTAGAGTAATGCAATTATATAAGAGGTGATAATCTTATAAACCAATATACATGTACTTGCTCTTGGTTAGTAAGGAAACACATCATGACGAAGTTGTGTATAAATAATAAAAATTGTTGTGCCTAAACAACTTTCTCAACTTTAATTAAGACACAGAGAGAGAACTGAAGAATCTTTCAGAGGTTTATGTAACATTATTCTTCACAAAACAACCCCAATCACTTGGGTACAAACATTACTGATATATATAATGTCTTTCGGTACATGTAGGTCAATAGAATGAGCTCAACATAGAAATCCATTAAGTGCATATAAATAAAGAACTTGTTTACCAATAAATAGCACAATTAGATATTAAAGTAGAAACATACATGTAAAGATATATTTATGCTTAAAGGAGCACAAGGACCAAACAGAGAGCTAGTGTACCTATTTTACTTGAGCCCTCCCGTTTTGAAATTGCTTTCTATACCTGATAGCTAAATGCAAAATAAAGCTCAGTCTCAACGGAAATCCCTAAACTGTAAATTAAATGAAAATATATTTATTTTATTCAGTGAATTACATTCCAGGTAACACAGACTCACAATTCATCTTTAATCTCGCTGAGTCCTCAAGCACAGGTAAGCTATAAGGATATTGACTTAAGCACCTCTCGTGTGTATACAAGCAGTGTAAGTGATGTGCATTATCTCTTTATGCTGTTAGTCTTTGAACTTTGCCATTAACCCCATCCCTTTTTATTCTTCGCCAAAGATTGTTCTCAGGATGCAGACATCGCTTTCCTCATCGACACCTCCAGAAGTCTGGGTCTACAAGCTTACAAAAAGGAGCTCCACTTTGTAGAAAGAGTCTTGGAGCGATACGAGATAGGAACGAACAAAACCAAAGTAGCGGTGATTACCTTCAGCGCTGGCAGCAAACTGGAGTTTGACTTTAACCGTTATAATAGAAAAGATGAAGTTTTGCGGGCCATTAGAAGTATTCCGTACACGGACGGATTGTGTACTACCATATATAGGGCACTAAAACAAGCTAGAGAGGAAGTGTTTGTTCCACAGGCCGGCGACAGAGAAAACTTCAAGAATTTGGCCGTCATTCTGACGGATGGAGAGACAAACCCAGGTATAAGCAATGGGTATTCATTGGAATTTGAAATCAGATCTTACTTTATTATCCTACAAGAGGAGTACCCTTTTTTTCGTGCTTAAGAACAAAATGCTTCAAAATCGCAGTCTCGTAGAATGAAATTTAGTGCTTCTTGTATCAACATTGAAAATACAATACATGTACGTATACCCACCATGCCTGAAAGGTTGTGCACATGCATGCGTATTCCAAAAACATAATAAAATACCACAAGAGTACCTTCATCACACATGTAGCATATTACTTTCAAAAACAGTAAGACAAAAAGATTACTTCGTTGAATGTAGATCTTCAGTGTAAAGAATGTTTGCTACGCCTTTGAGTGTCTTTCTTGGGCTCTGTAAGAGTAAACCGATTTTAGCCTTTAAGGTTTTTTTAATAAGCGATTATTCTTGCATATTGTAGGTAGGTACGATCTCTATACTTTACCAAAGGCTAAATCCCTAACGAGACAGGAAGCAAACGACTTGAAGTTTCATGGTGTGGAGGTGTTTGGTATTGGAGTGGGTCATCGTGTGGACCACGTGGAGATGATAGGGATATCTAGTGGGGCCAGGAATTATTATCGCGTGGACGACATCGACGATTTAGAGAAATCCAGACTGTTTCACATACTCCTTAATAAAGTCTGTGCAAGTAAGTCCCGCCTCCCCCTTCTCTTTCTCTCTCCAGACTTTTTAAAAAAAAATGACTGTCGTGTTTCCATATACTACGAAAGCCCATTGAGCTCATTTTCGTATGTAAAACAAATATTTTTCGCGTTAAAACGCGAAACTTTCGCCTTATAACGCGAAATTAAATATATATTGTCATGTTAATCAGGAACCCATGTTCTTGATTGACAGACGAGAAACACGAACGCAGACGGGGACTTCTATGAATTTATAAGTGACATTTCTTCAGAATTAAGTAGCTGCAATACTTATCAAAGCATAAACCATTCACTTATTTCATACACATGGGGATAGTAAGAAGTACTTCAATTACTTCTTGTAGACCAGTCCATTTAGTAATTAACTTCCCTTGTTATTCTTTTCATGCCTAACTCGAAATTTTTTATCGATTTACTTAATTAACAGTCAAACATTTACTTTTCTATGGAGTTCAGTATACAGTAAAACACGCTTATAGCGAACCCGCTTATAATGTATTGACACTTACAGCAAAATGATTTCGATTTTCCATGGCATTAAAATATATTATGAATTTAACTTCGTTATAAACGTGTCTTACTGTATTAAATAGCATCTGATTCTTTGTACACATCTATTAAGAAAAAGTGTTTAAAAAATGAAGGAAAAAAAAAAACAATAAATGTAATTCAATAATTCTGTAATGTATAACACATACATAATTTGACCAGAGATATAATATGTTTTCTATGTCTCTGATTTGACCAACTGAGGTTATTATAAATGAGCATAAATTGATCATTTAGGAGGGCTTAAATTTAACAATAAAGTGCACCGCCACAGCGTATGATACGCCCATATCACGTGTTCCTGATTAACATGACTATATATAAAATATATATAATTTCGCTTTTTAACGCGAAAGTTTCGCGTTATTCGAGAAAGTTTCGCGTTATAACATGAAAAATATTTTTTATTTACCTACGAAAATGAGCTCAATGGGCTTTCGTAATATACGGATAAATGTACATGTATGTAGTTAAATTTTTTGAAGAACAAACTTGGTTATCCTTTCAGAGGCTAAGACCTCTCTCATGATTGTGCTTGCTTCCTACATAAATCAAAAATGGCTATCATATTCTACATGCATATTTATGCCCTGTTCACACGGAGAGTTTAATTCGAATTAAACGTAAGTTACTGCGAAATAAATTTGAACCGCGTTCACACGGAGAATTTAATGCGAATTAGTTTAATTCGAATTAATTTACTGCGCATTAAATTACTTCGCATTAGCTCCGTGTGAACGCTAAGCGAAGCTAATTCGAATTAAATTTTGACGCATGCGTAAGGGCAGAATTAAGTCAAAGACCACTTGTCGGTGGTCAGATATAGTAATTTGTGCTATTTTTGAGTAGAAAACCAAAGAAAATTATGTTAATCAATAAAATGTGTACAGACACTATGACATTATGTAAAATGTACCTGCTCTGCACAATGTTACGTGATTTGAAAATGACGTCATAATAGGCTTACAGAATAGCCTTAGTGTAGAAATATAATTTTAATTCGCATTAGTTTACTTCGCATTAGCTCTCGTGTGAACGCAATCTAATTCGCATTAGTTTAATTCGCATTAGTTTACTTTGAATTAACTTACTGCGAATTAAACTCTCCGTGTGAACAGGGCATTAAAGTCTTCGTCGTTTATAGCAAACACTAAATAAATGCTTTTAATTATATTTATACAAGTATATAAAAGTTTTCCCACTTTGTCTCGTTCTTATACACTGTAAATTTTAATAAATAGCTAGATTAAATTTTCACGTCTTTCAAAATAGTCTGAATTTTGTTTAAGTGTGATTTTTATTGTTTTGGTAGCCAAAAGGTAAACGGAATTTTATGACATGAACTCGCTAAGAGCTACAAAATGTGATAATCTAACTCTGTTTTTCTAACCTTTCAGGTCCCCTAAGACGGCGTAGGTACATGTGTAGTTCACGATTTTATTGCGAGCACTCTTATACACTTTCACATTGAACTCATATTTGTGTTTTAATGCACTGTCTGTATGCAAAAAGATGCTATTTTACAGGTCAACATATATGTACAAAATATCAAGAGGGGAAAAAAATCTTAAGAAAGTTTTTACTGATATTTTTTTTTTATTTTTTACTTTTTATAGAAGATAATGTTATAACACTACTGTCAAATCACACATAATAATGGACAGAAATTCATCGTTTCAATTTCAAACCTCTTAGCTTCATTTTGTCTGCTACAAATCACTATAACGAATAGGTGTATTTTACTTTTCTTTTTTTTTTTAATTTGACTACTGTAAATACAACTCTTTTAACTTCAACGCTTTTGTCAAGATCCATGTTCGTGCACAAACGAGCAAAATAGGTTTCATGGGTATAAATTTTATTTATGTTTTTAATCGTATTCATACTTGAATGAATTTCTGTCAATGCTCTCACGCATTGTTTTCCTTCCATGTGTAGCTCGAACTATCGAGATCATCTACCTGCATTTTTATTAATTTAAGTCTCCTTTTCACATTATATCAGGGGGTGGGGTTTAAATTTCACAATTTTCATGACAATACAGTGTTATAAGATTTTGTACGAGGCTTTTAGCTGTAGCTAGTCTACGACCAGTTATCGGAATATATTGTCTTTACTACTCTGTCTTAGTATTTCTATATACAGTTTTAGTTCGATTGTGAATCATTCTCATATTCAATAAAATGAAAATAAATTATTTACAGATAATGTTTAATTAAAATGAAACCGGCTTGTAAGGACTTAAAGTAAACATAAACTTTCATTATATTTTCCTGTAGGGTGTAACAACAAACCTGCAGACATCTTCTTCATTGTGGACAAATCCTCCAGTCTCGGCAGTGTGGCAAATTTTGACAAGGAACTATCCTTCATTGCCAGATTTGTAGAGGGGTTTAACATTGGACAGGGTACCCAGGACGTGAGGGTCGGTGTTATATCCTTTAGCACGGACGCCCAGTTAGAATTCGGACTCTCTGCTTACGGCGACAAAAGAAGTTTACAAGACGCACTGCTAGATATTAAATTCTCGCTTGGAAATACGTATACTCATAAGGCGTTTGAAATTTTACTAAATCAGGGATTCTCGGCTTCACCGCGCCCCCTTACAGTGCCTCGTGTGGGTAAGAGATATGTATAGTCACAATTAATAAAAATCTAACGAAAAAATACTGATGATATAATGTAGCGTCAGTGGGTGGAGCCAACAACAAAAAAAAACAACATTAATCATTCATCCTCTTACCTCTTATGATACATATTATATTATGCATGTGGATAATTATAAAACGCACCATTGACTTGATTTTTTGTATCAGAAATGAATTCTTCCACTAACAATTTTTAAAAGTATATCGTCAATGTGTATATATGCTACACGAATTCATTAATTGCAGTAGTTACAACAAAGCCAGAACCCATTTAATAGAGAATGCAGCATTTCGCCTGGTTTAGGAATTAATTCTAACATACTCCTTTGCGAAAATAGCTTTTTATTTCTAGTTTAAACGGAAATATTTTTGGATTTTATGATGCAGTTAGTACAAAACTCTTTTCTTCTTAAACTTTCAGTAAGGCGTGACATTCTCGGCGATACATAATTAGCGTCTCTCAAATGGTGACCTAGATTCTCATTGGTTAAGAAATTAATAACATTAGCAACTTTAGATTGTTGTTAACAAACGATGAGATGACATAAGCCACACCTCTTTCCTGTAAGAAACGATGTAATTGGTTCCTTGCGTCACTCGTTGACTCTGACTCATTTTTATCCCATGTGTATTCACCCGTGAATGAAAAGCTGTGTAAATTTCAGTACTGATGAGCTAATCTGGCAACCAATGAGAATCTAGGTCACTATTTGAGAGACGCTAATTACTTATCGCCGAGAATGTCACGCCTTACTGAAAGTTTTAGGAGAAAAGAGTTTTGTACTACTATGAATTTCCTTTAATATATATATATATATATATATATATATATATATATATATATATATATATATATATATATATATATATATATATATATATATTAATCCTTCCCTAAAGGATTTGTCCTTGACAGGTAACATTGACTATATGTGTAGATTCCTTAATTCTTTTAAATATTTTCAAGGGTGTAAATTCCTTTTCAAGTATGTAACTTTCCAAGTAGGCCACTTCAACTAAAAGTGTTCTCAAGGAAAAAGTATGAAGTGAAAAAATAAAAATGAAATTTTCATTTAATGGTATTAATGAAATAATTACCACGCCCGATCTATATACCATTTCTTAACTTTGGCCCAGTTTGGCATATGTTTACTGACCCTCTGGTAAGGGAGATAGCTCTAACTGGGATAAATGATTATTATTCCATTATTAAATTTCGCGTTCAAGTCCATTTCTTTCAAATTGTGTCATGCAAGGTAGGCTGAAATTGTGTGCATTTAATTATAAGTTAGATTTCTTTTTGAAAATCATCAGCGTTAAAGCAAACTTTTCTATGAGTGAAGAGAGGAATAATGAAGCTTAACTTAAACTGAGGCTCTTTGAGATGTTCTTATCGAAATCAACTAGTCTCTGTACACATCTAAGGTACATATAACATAAACTGAGGTCCTTTGAGAGGTTCTAATCGAAATCAACTAGTCTCTATACACATCTAAGGTACATATATAACTTAAACTGAGGCCCTTTGAGAGGTTCTTATCGAAATCAACTAGTCTCTGTACACATCTAAGGTACATATATAACTTAAACTGAGGCTCTTTGAGATGTTCTTATCGAAATCAACTAGTCTCTGTACACATCTAAGGTACATATATAACTTAAACTGAGGCTCTTTGAGATGTTCTTATCGAAATCAACTAGTCTCTGTACACATCTAAGGTACATATAACATAAACTGAGGCCCTTTGAGAGGTTCTTATCGAAATCAACTAGTCTCTATACACATCTAAGGTACATATATAACTTAAACTGAGGCTCTTTGAGATGTTCTTATCGAAATCAACTAGTCTCTGTACACATCTAAGGTACATATAACATAAACTGAGGTCCTTTGAGATGTTCTAATCGAAATCAACTTGTCTCTGTACACATCTAAGGTACATATATAACTTAAACTGAGGCCCTTTGAGAGGTTCTAATCGAAATCAACTAGTCTCTATACACATCTAAGGTACATATAACTTAAACTGAGGCCCTTTGAGAGGTTCTAATCGAAATCAACTTGTCTCTGTACACATCGTAACTTAAAGTGAAGCCCTTTGAGATGTTCTAATCGAAATCAACTTGTCTCTATACACATCTAAGGTACATATAACTTAAAGTGAGGCCCTTTGAGATGTTCTAATCAAAATCAACTCGTCTCTGTACACATCTAAGGTACATGTTACTTAAACTGAGGCCCTTTGAGAGGTTCTAATCAAAATCAACTCGTCTCTGTACACATCTAAGGTACATGTTACTTAAACTGAGGTCCTTTGAGAGGTTCTAATCAAAATCAACTTGTCTCTATACACATCTAAGGTACATATAACTTAAAGTGAGGCCCTTTGAGAGGTTCTAATCAAAATCAACTTGTCTCTATACACATCTAAGGTACATATAACTTAAAGTGAGGCCCTTTGAGATGTTCTAATCAAAATCAACTCGTCTCTGTACATATCTAAGGTACAAACAACTTAAACTGAGGCCCTTTGAGAGGTTCTAATCGAAATCAACTAGCCTCTATACACATCTAAGGTACATAAAGATAGACTCTCTCTTCATTAATATGAAAATGTTCAATATGAAGACGATTCTTGGTTTCTAACATAAAATGGAGATTAAATTGAAATGCAAGCAAATTAAATATACATTAGTATTTACATAGGACAAATTCTTGTTGAGAATGACATAGTGATAAAGAAATATTAGAGTTATTGGTCTTTGCAAAGGAAGTTGGTTTACTGAAGGTTTTTCAGAAGTTCATATATTGAACAAGTAGAATTATTGCAGGTGTGATTATGACAGACGGCCAGTCTACAAATCCATACAAACTGGACGACGTTCTAAAGCTGGTCAAACTCAGAGGAATAGAAATATTCTCTATTGGTATGTTATACTACATGACATAAAACATGTTGTCACAAACTTCAAGATTTCATCATTTTAATTTAATAACCATATTTTTTTTTATCAAGACATAATCTCAAATGATTTAAGCTAAAACTTAATCATAAACAGTTAGTTGTATTCCAATCAGATACTAGTAGTGATATACATGTAGTAATTTGCTTTTATAGGTACTTAAGGTCATACGCAACGTACATGTTCCTTACAATGTGACTTTCCCACTGATGATTTAAAGATATTCTTGATCTAAAATTATAGTACCATCAGGTGTTCCTAGACAAAAAGTCAGCATACATTACCAGGAGTTTTGAACAGATATCAAATGATGAATATTCTTGTTTTTAAAGAAAAACTCACAAAATATAGTTGTAGGCGGTATTTTTCCTCAAAATTTAATTCAGAGGAGGAATACAGCATAACCTTCAATCATAAAATCGCACCAAGGTCCTTCAATTATTGGAACATTTGTCTTAAATTATGCAGGGAATAAGAAAACAATGTTTAAAATAACGTTGCGTGTGTCCTTACTCTTAGGAGACCCATGAACGTAATTCCCAAAATGAGATAGGCAAAGGAAAAGGAAAAAAAAATCAAGTAGATGTACTCTTTCAGTTCACAAAAAAGGATAACTTATTTGAAATAAGAATATTGTGTATATCAGGATAATTTTTATATGATTTTGGATATTTATGGGTTTGTCATCCCTCTATCCACTTCACAAGCACTTGTTTCTGTAATAAATTTTTGACCTATAGTATAATAATAACAAAAGGTATCCAATACCGAACTACACGGAGTACCCCCTCCCTCAGAATCGCACTCATTTACAATTTCAGAGGACGTGCACTGGCAAACTGTTTATACCTGTGTCTTCTACAATAATTTATCTACACAACCAAATATGGCATGCTTGTCTTTATTTTCTTTTATCTCCGTAAACAGCGTCAAACTCTGCTCGCCGAGTGGAAAAGTCGAAGTCAACCATGAAATGGTATGTGCTAATCCCGGGCAGAGAGCAAAATTAAAAAAATGAGTGGGTTTAAAAATTCAATTCCACTGTTTAAATATTTCAGTGAATAAAAAAAATTTGCTTTCCTCTCAATTTCCAAAAAAACACTACGATATTTTTCCGATATAATTTTAGAAACAGATTTTTAGCCAATCAAAATCTCTGCCCGAGATTAGCACATATACAATTCCATGGTTGAGTTCGACCTTTGCACTCGGCGAGCAGCGTTTTGACGCTGTTTACGGAGATAAAAGAAAATAAAGACAAGCATGCCATATATGGATTGTGTAGATAAATTATCGTAGAAGACATGGGTATAAACAGTTTGCCAGTGCATTTCCTCTGAAAGTGTAAATGAGTGCGATTCTGGGGGAGGGGGGTACTCCATGTAATTCGGAGTTGGATACCTTTTGTTATTATTATAATTTGGGTCAAAAATTTATTACAGAAACAAGTGCCTGTGATCCACTTATATAAATCATTTAAAGTTAACGATTTTCAAAAAGAAATTCAATTTGATAGCGATGACCTTTTAACTTGACCAATTTAAAAGTGTAACACATTTATAATTATTTTTCCCAATGAGAGTTATCTCTCTTCTAAAGATCAATGAACCTTAATGCATTACTGAAAACTGCAAAACGTAAATCTGGGATAGATTACTAAGTAATAGCTTAATAATACTAGTATTATCTTTTAAACTAATAGACTGGCAAATAAAAGACAAATTTATTTTAACCAATATGTTCGAAAAACACCCAAATAAAATCAACATATGCCTATATTTTACTTAAGGTTTTGGGAGTGTGGACATCCCAGAGTTAAATAAGATGGCAACAGTTCCGGATCACACTCACGTATTTGTCGTGGATGATATTCACACGCTCGACACCGTGCGGGACGAATTATATCTGGAGATCTGCAATCTGATTGGACAGTCCTAATACACCCCTACCCAGTGGCCAAATCTACCTCATACGTACCTTATATTTATTTCGGTTATTTAATTTCACTTTTGAGTAGACAGTCGTTTTGGCGGTCTACTTTCAACTACAAGATTGATATCAAAAGGCAATTTGTAAAACTAATAACATGCAATAATGCTTTTCAAGATTTTTAAAACTAGCAGCTTTAATTGTTGAAGTTACTTTTTATTACCTGAAAAATTTAATATTATAACGACTTCACATGATAGTTTCATACAATCCTTGTACACAATATATTTGCATCTTCCCGTGCGATAATTTTTCGTATTGGTGTAGTTTACAGCCCATTGTGTCATAATCACTTTCATGTATACTATTCTCATCTGCAGTAAGTACTCTTGTACTGTCTTGAACCAGTTGTTTTAGCGTTCCCTTGAAGTTAAGTTGATTATAGTTTAAAACACAATGATTTTCAAGAAATATATTATTGTATATCCCGCTTTTTTGTTGTCGATTCTGCTTTTCCAGTATGTAATAAAATGGTTCAACGATATTTTCATCTGTTGTTTTAGTAACGACACTTCCATCTGTAATTTTGGCTTGTCTGAAATGAAAACAGTTTGTTTAATGATGAAGATGAAAATTTTGTCAGTTTACTTAAGGTATTCTACCCCTGATAGACTCATATTCGATCGATGAAACTGCATAAATACAGAACAGATACATACGTACGGGTTGAATACTTGGTATGTTTAGGCATAATTCCCATTTATTACGTTTACTATCGGTATGTAAGAGCAGAATGTGTCCTAATTTATGACCTTTGACCTATCCTTGAAGAGTTATTTCCCTTTGATTTTATTATTTAAAAAATCTATCCGAAAAAATCGTTATTAATAATTATTCTATTCCTAATGATTAAAGACATCTTTCGGCCGCAGCATTTAATGAGATTCTTAATTGGTATTTGGTTTTTACGAATATACCTGTCCCCACTGACCTCAATGCAATCTTCGTTGATCAATTACTGCTTAGCTAATTACATTTTAGAAAATGTCTCTTGGTAAATCATTTTCTACTCTTAATATCAATTTATACAAGATGGGTACTTTAGGATAGAGAACTAGGTCTCATTGATGAAATATCTTAACTGTATGAAAATATTACTAATTTAGTGGCATCACAATGTACAGCTTTTCATTAATTAGACACTTTGTCACAGATGTTTTGGATGTACAAGCGAAAAAAAATTCGAACCGAATTCGAATCTGCAACCAAACTGAGCACAGTGACTACAGAGCAAATAGAAATCTCGATATGTATTACCGTGCCACTTGGGCGGCATTCACGTAATTATTTTTAATGAAATCATTTAGTGATTGAAAATTTTGATATGTACTCACCTTGATCGTTTGACATAAAAACCAACCAGCACCATTGATAAAAACAGAAGGATTACAGCGGCTGTTGGGACAACTACCCAGTACATCACTGAATACAAATAAGAGGCCCATAGGCCACATCGCTCACCAAAGCACATTGGCTATGAAAAAGCACAAATCAGTTCAGTATTGAAAAGTTTACATGGAAGAGGGGAGAGGGGTGGAGGTAGGCAAACTTGAATTTTGCACTACCTGAGGATGCTTCCATATTAATATAACTAATGGCTTTGCTGTTCTTGAACAGAAGATTTTTTAAATATTTTTTCCTATATATTTCTTTGTAAAAATTTGATCCCCTATTGTGGCCGCTCCCTATCCCTGGGGGTCATGATTTAAACAAACTTGAATCTACACTAACTGAGGATGCTTCCATATTAATATGACTAAACATGGCTTTTCTGTTCTTAAGAAGATTTTTAAAGTTTTTCCCCTATATATTTATATGTAAAACTTTGATCCCCCATTGTGGCCCCACCCTACCCCAGGGGTCATCATTTGAACAAACTTGAATCTACAATACCTGAGGATGCTTCCATATCGATATGACTAATCAAGGCTTTGCTGTTCTTGGACAGAAGATTTTTAAAGATATTTTCTATATGCTTATGTAAAACCTCGATCCCCCAAATATGGCCCCCTTACCCCCACCCCCTCGAGGTCATCATTAAAAAAATATATATATCAATATGACTACTCATGGCTTTGCTGTTCTTGGACAGAAGATATTCTCCAATATAATCCTATATAAAAATTTGATCCCCCATTGTGGCCCCGCCCTACCCCAGGGGTCATTCTTTGAACAAATTCGAATCTACACTACCTGAGAATACTTCCATATCAATATGACTAATCATGGCATTGCTGTTCTTAAGAAAAGGATTTTTAAAGATTTTTTTCCTATTTATTCTTATGTAAAATTTTGATCCCCCATTATGGCCATACCTACCCTCAGGGGGTCATCATTTGAACAAATTCAAATCTGCACTGAGGATGCTTCCATATCAATATGACTACTCATGGCTTTGCTGTTCTTGAGAAGATTTTAAAAGATGTTTTCCTATTTATTCCTATGTAAAACTTGAATCCCCAATTGTGGCCCCACCCTACCCCCTAGGGTCATTATTTGAACAAATTTGAATCTACACTATGTAAAGAGGGTTTCCTATTAGTTTGAAATTTTTTGGTCCTGTGGTTCTTGAGAAGAAGAATTTTAAAAGGTGCCACCAAATTTTCACTATTTCTGAATTATTTCCCCGTCAAAGAAGCGTGGCCCTTCGTTTGAACAAGCTTGAATCCCCTTTACCTAAGGATGCTTTGTGGCAAGTTTGGTTGAAATTGGCCCAGTGGTTCTTGAGAAGAAGATGAAAATGTAAAAACGCAACAACGACAGACAACGGACAAATTTCGATCAGAAAAGCTCACTTGAGCTTTTGGCTCAGGTGAGCTAAAAAAATTTATAGTACATGTAGCAAAAGTAATGATATGGGCTTTCCACAGTAACCATGGTGATGAAAGTTTGAACTTATAATCATCTTCAATACCAAAGTTTTAGCTGACATGAAAGAAAAGTTTCTTACACTTTGTCTCCATGTAGCGATATTCGCCTATAGTTGAAGTCACGTGGGTAGTCTGAGTGGATTCTGTGAGAAGTTGAGTTGTATTATGAAAATGCGGTGGTCCATTTACTTGTATGTCTTCCGATGCATACCTCAGTTCTGAAAAAAGTAGACTATAAGTGTACCTTGTTATGACAGTACGTAAGTCTGGCTCAGTGTGGAACGTTTGAAGTCGATGTCATACATTTAATTTATTAATTTTTTAATACAGTCAGTCGATATCAAATGTATGGAACCGGGAGAGGACCACCTATGGAATCCGGATAGGGCTACGTACTTCACTATCGCACCATCAAGACCCATTGTCCATGGTACGATGACAATCACATGATGGTGCGAAAGTGCATTACGGTGAAGCAAACGGGCGATAATGCGATGACGATAGTGCTATAGCAGTATTGCTTCATCCAGAATTGTACAATCGCGCCATTATGCCATCGCATCGTTGCGCTATCGCTCAATCGGGCCATCGCACCATCATCATCGCATTGTTGCGCTATCGTGTCATCGGACCATAGACCCAAACCTCGATGGTGAACTATGTGGCCCTATCCGGATTCCTTATATTTGCCAAAGTACAATTTTCGGATCACAACGCAGATATTGCTATATGAGTAGTAACAGATCAGATTTTTGTGCACGTGAATGTGCGTGTTTTCAAGAATTGTCTTATATATTTAAATTTTACGAATTTAATTGAAAACTTAAAATATTTCAGCAGTCGAATTGTTAAGCAGTCAGAATTCAGTACATATGCATTTATTTCTCGTATAATTTGCCCACAGTCTAAATTTTGTCACCGCCGAAACATGGTTGAAATATTGCCGACTCGGCGTTAAACAATAAACAATCAATCTAAATTTTGTCTTCCTTCGTTGAAAACTACCAAAAAAGTTATTAATAGCCATTTTTAAATTAGCCACTTAGATTTCAGCGTGCATGCATGCATGAGTTTTCTAGATCTCTCATATATATCTTCCCATTGTGTTTCATATTATATATAATTTTTACATGTTTGTTTGGTTGTTTAAATTTTTCACTCATATTGAGATGCCACCACTCGCCAATGGAGGGCTGCAAATTTAGATGTGTACTCCGTCGGTACTTACGGCCTTTGAGCAAAAAGGGATCTTTTTCATGCTAGGACCTATAGCTGCAATACAATACCTCAATTTATAGGGTCTCATCCGAAGGACCGGTCTCACTTCCCGCAGTGGAATTCGATGTAAGGATCAACTCCTTACTCCGGACTTTAGAGCGAACGCCCTAACCACTGCGCCAAGCGGCAGTAATATGTAACTGTGGCTTTTTCAAACTATTTTGATAAGAAAGAGATACAGTTGTTAAAGCAAAAGCCGTCAGGATAAAGCACTCGCGCATGCATATCCTTGCATTAAATTTTGATAGTATCATAATGTATGAAAATATTTTACTTGTCTTTCTTAAAAATTTCGTCCTGTTTTGTTGAAAACTGAGAAAGTTTTGTTCATTTAAAGTTTCAGCCCATGAAATTGCAGTGCACGTGCATGAGCTTGTTTTCAAGAAATTTTGTATAAGTCGTATTATAGACCCTCGTAATATGTATTTATTTTAATTCTTATAATATTTTGTCAAAAACATGGAAGTTATTGAGATTTTTGTCCCAGCCAATCGGAATAAAGCATATGTGCATGTGTTCATGCCCATTCAATGTCATTTCGAGTACTAATATTTGTTTTATACTATGGAATCCGGATAGGGCCATGTAGTTCACTTTTACATCATCGCACCATCAAGGTTTGGGACGATAGTTCGATGACGCGATAATGCGATGACGATGAAGCGATGTTGCGATGACGATGATGCGGTGGCGCGACAATGCAATGATGATGCGATGGCACGATGAAAGCACAATGACACGATGATGCGATAACAATATCACGATGGTGCGATGACGATGGCGCGATGGTACGATGACGCAATGTTCACTATTGCTCAATCATACTATCGCACCATCGACCCTTTATAGTCGATGATCGATGGTGCTATAGTGAAGTACGTGGCCCTATCTGGATTCCATACAAATAAGTGAAGTTTATCATACAAAAGCTTTGTCCAATTCACTGCTCAAAGCTTTTAGGGAATGGGGCACCACGAGGGAGTAGGAGAGCCGTTTGGGGAACATCTGTAGTTCCCGTTACAATCAGCACTAGTTTTTTTTTTAACTTTCAGTCAGTATCATATATAACTGATGAACACAGTGATGGATATTTGTTATTACAGTTACTAAATGTCTAATGTAATACCTGACTGACAAAGTGATGGATACCTTTTATTACAGTTATACTAAGAGTCTAATGTAATACCTGACTGACATAGTGATGGATACCTTTTATTACAGTTATACTAAAAGTCTAATGTAATACCTGACTGACATAGTGATGGGTATTTGTTATTACAGTTACTAAATGTCTAATGTAATACCTGACTGACATAGTGATGGATACCTTTTATTACAGTTATACTAAAAGTCTAATGTAATACCTGACTGACATAGTGATGGATACCTTTTATTACAGTTATACTAAAAGTCTAATGTAATACCTGACTGACATAGTGATGGGTATTTGTTATTACAGTTACTAAATGTCTAATGTAATACCTGACTGACATAGTGATGGATACCTTTTATTACAGTTATACTAAAAGTCTAATGTAATACCTGACTGACATAGTGATGGGTATCTTTTATTACAGTTACTAGACGTTTAATGTAATATCTGACTGACATAGTGATGGGTATCTTTTATTACACTTACTAGACGTTTAATGTAATACCTGACTGACATAGTGATGGGTATTTGTTATTACAGTTACTAGATGTCTAATGTAATACCTGACTGACATAGTGATGGATATTTGTTACTAGATGTCTAATGTTATACCTGACTGACATAGTGATGGATATCTTTTGTTACAGTTAGTCGATGTCAAACCCCAACCTCCATCTTTTCTGTATTGTAGTGCAATGCACAGCTTTTCCTGTATGGTCAGGAATGGAATATGGCGTCTCAAAGACAAGTCAATTGTTGAACCTGTAAAACATATAGGTCTCCCCAAAACAGTTTCGATAGAAAAGAAGTCATTCAAATAACTGGTAAGACTTCAGGTAATTGGAGCATTTTGTACTTCATACAACAATACCATGTATTTTTTTAAGAAAGAGAATAAATACAAGATTGGTTTCGACAAACGGTGTAATTTTCACATATAGTTATCATTTCACAAGAATTAAAACCAACATTGATTTTCGAAATCAATCAGCGTTTTTCTTATAGGTACAAATTTCCGTAAGAAATCGAGTATACAGGATAAGGATATTGAAAACCCATTTTGTTGAATTAATTATCGCATTGATAATTTTTATCTAAAACAAAGAAGCTATTCATTTATTAACGATTTATGTTTAACGATACTTTCCAAGGTTTTAACTAAAATTTTACTAAATAAACAATATTCATAGGGAATCTGCATATTAAACGAATTCTGTTTAACTATTAAAGCACAGCATAACATTGGAGGCTGTGTTAAATTCAAGGGCTTTTTCATTTACTTTTCTTGGTAAACATTAATAACTTTGAAACATTTCAACCAGATTTCGTATCCATATATGTTTTCTAATTTCTAAAGCAGTACTCCATAAAACACACCCCTATAACTCAACATCAAGTACTCGATATTACTAAGCATATAGCAGACTTGTAAGAAATTATCTCAAAAATACTCAAATCTGAAGCGCCAAGATACATGTGTATATTATAATATTTTACTCTTTGTTAAGTCCTATACATGTAATGATAACATGACGACCGTACAAAATATCTCATTTCCGGAATTTTTGTGTAGGAGGTGAACAATGGACTTTCGGCTTTTGAAATATTGTCAGCGATGACACTAAGAAGTTTGCTGCATCAATTTGATCGTTTCCTGGATTACAAAAATGTTTACTGTCAGTTACATGCGGTACTGCATCTTGATCATAAAATCGATGGGCTCTCGAACGATTGACCTCCACGAAGAGAGGATCAATCTTGTGTTAATTTTCAAGAATAATTAACTTCATTTGCCCCCAGTATCTCGTTTTTTACGCTAAATTTATGACAATTTCTTGCAATAAAATGGCCTCGTCTTTAACACTTTCTCTCTTCCTGTTCACCGTAGGAACGGTTATTGCTTTGTCGATAGGTCTTATCAAAGTTAACTCACCGTCAGTCCAGATCTGTCGCTTCCTTGTCAATCCGGTCCAATAATAAACATTTGAGAGATTTAGATTATGATGGAGAATGGCGTCGCGGTCCACCAAGTATCCATGCATCTGATTACACTTATAGCTGGCAGTGTACCAGTCTGTTTTCTCAGACACTACATACAAACAAGGTGTTGATTGTTTCAACCAATCACACATGGCACTCTCTTCTACAAAAATCATGAAATGTACTGGAATATGATGGGTATGAAATGAAGTTTTGAGAAGGACGTTGTCGTTGAGGGAGGAATTTTATCTTGAAAAAAACATTATAAGCACATTTCACAAAATCAAGACTTTGTGTTTTACAATGTATTGAGTATTTCACAACGTTAAGACTGATTTTATGATTTCATAAATATTTGACATGGGAAACATTTCAAAACCTTTGAAGTGTACTTACTAACGTAGCAGATAAATTCGTGATGTTGGCTACAGTACTCTGTGAACCAAACATATTCATCCTTGGAGGTCATTAATAAGGCACAGTCCTTCCCATATCTATGTATGGTTGGCTCATGTAGACCCCATTCCACAGAATCTAGTTTCAAATATATAAATACTGTACAATAGAAACTCGATGAACTAGCTGGACAGAAATTTCAAAAGAAATAGTGTTTTGGACAAACCCCAAGTTGGAAAGACGGAAGACCGATTTAGACCGCCACAAAACTCTCCAGGGTTTCCCGCGCATGCTCTATTACATTCATAGATCGGGGTTTCTTGGAGGCTTGACGTATCGTAAAGACAGTAACACTTGAGATCCTGACAAAGAGACGTTTTGTTGATTTGTCTGACACAATCCACTATGTTCACAATTTTTAATGATTATCTTAAAATAAGTATCATGTTATAAGGTATTAATTATAGAGTGTGTTGCAACTTCCCTTAAAACATGCATAATGGAAATTAAAAGCTGGTACCTGAAGAGCAGCAAATGGTCGTTTAAGCACGATCTTACAGAAAGCTGTACACAGTTCTGGGTGGTTATTGTGTAGATCAGTGTACACCGCTAACGTCAGATTCCCCTGGAAGCATCCTGTTATTCTACCAATCTGGGCCCTCTGGTCTACGTACAAGTATATATAAAATGAAGTATTGGGATGGTTTTACAACTCCTTTTGTAGTTTTTTTCCTTACGATAATTCTACACTAATCAAAAACAATTTTTTTCAGAAGATCCTAACACGAACTGTATCATTTGAAGACACATTGATTGTTCAATAATAACTGTGACAATATTTTTTTTATTTATATAAATAATATTATATATATATATATATATATATATATATATATATATATATATATATATATATATATATATATATATATATATATATATATATATATATATATATATATTATAGTAAATCACTGAATATCGTAATATAAGTTGTCAAGGATATATTTTTTCTAGAATAGCAAGTATATCTTATTTCAAGGATCAATTAAAACTTCCGTTCGATATATACAGACATAAACGAAGATGACGTCTTTGTATATCAAAGCTGAAACTTGGTCTTTGAGATATATCTAAGTAGTACTCACCATGGGACCACACCCATTGATATTTGGTCTCTCGCCCTCCGATCCAGAAAGTGGCCAGGCTTCTGTTGGTGAATTCATACAGCTGTCGTTCGACTTGGAACATTTCTTGTTCGTTCTCAAAGGTAGCAAGTTTTTCATGATTCCTGTCACATATTCTTTCTGACGCTTGCCAGGATTGTGGTTTTCGAATAACGTTTATTAACTTTTCCTTGAAATCATATTCAGATGACGCTCCATTACCTGAGTGGTGATACGTGTAATAATTTTATTATTAAAGATTTTAATATCGCTGTACAGATTTAGATCAAAAAATTTTAAATATCTCTTGAAATCCTAATGGAAAAAAAAATCATCTCGAAACCGGAAGTATCCTATCCGATAGATTGGTAAAATTCTCACCTAAAAGTAGAATAACCAACAGACATCCAAAGTTTACCACCATATTAACAGTGTCAGAAAGGAGGATATGATAAGCGTATATACTGTATTTATATGCTTATAGTACCCTGACTAAGTGTTTTGGATTTTATTTCACGCGAGTTTGAGAGGTTGATACTATTCGACCACATAAAAACGGAACCAGCATCTTTAGAATAGGGTCAGCGAACGAATTAGGCAGACGGCAATTATAGAATGTAGAACTAGAAGGACAGACGACAGTAAATACTTACTGTACTTAAATTAATCCTGAGTGTCGACTACTGTTCATACCGGTGACAGTGATTTCCCATTACTTCAAATGTTTTGTCAAGACAGACAGGCATTGTTCTAAACAGACGTCAAAGCGTGCAGTACACCATTCAACAAACCAGTAAATATAGTCATAAGTGTGTGTTAAAGTGGCAAAAAATATGACGGGAGCAAGTTCACTGTAAAGGTACATTAATGGTATATGATACACATAGAATGTACTTGAAAAAAAAATGATCTGCAGCCCACTCCCTCTCTCTCTCTCGCTTATATTATGACATTGGTTTTTTTTTCAGACTTTGCAAGGGATCAAACCATTTTCCTCTTAATATGATCTAAATATGATCTTTGCAATTTTTTGAAAACGAAAAATGTTCTTAAAGCATTTATTACTGAATAGTGAAATGCTCAATCGGTAGAGCGCTCGCTCCGTGATCGGAAGGTCGTTTGTTCGAAACACGGCCGCGACCGACCTAAGTCGATAAAAAAATAGGTACCAACTGTTCCTTCGTCGAGCGCTCAGCACTTTGAAGTGAAAGTTGCGGGTCCTTCGGATGAGACCATAAAAACCGAGGCCCGGTGTCACAGTAGGCGTTGGCACGATAAAGAATCCTCACTGTTCAATGGCCCTGAATGCCGAATAAAGGTCTGAATTTGAAGCCCTTCATTGGTATATGGTGACGTCTCTATATGAGTGAAAAATTCTCGAACGGGACGTAAAACAACATACAATCAATCAATCAATCTAAATAGTGAAATGAACCTCAGTAAATGTTGACTTTAACCATTCAAATATGTGAATGTACCAGCCACAATATTATAACATAAAACCCACTGATAGGGTTTATCCAAAGATATATTAGCTTCACAGGAAAGCATATCGACCCAAGCATGAAGTGCAAGTTCGCTAAGCTTTTCTTAAATTAGATACGATACATATATGGATTGACCAAATTATACGTCTACATTTCTTAATTAAATTATTTTCTTTGGGGAAAATAAGAGACGAAGTAATTGTTATCAAATTTATATCTTTTTAATAATTTAATCTTTGAATGTCTGACATCAACTCAGATTGAATTTTCCAGATCTATTTTAAGTAACTCAGTCAATATTGGACCATCTTTTTCAAAAAATGCTTGTTTGCCCTCTCCCGACTGAACGCCTAAAATTGGCCTACTCATAACTTTTTTTTTTATTTATTTCGGGAAACATTTTTTTCTTTGTATTTCTGAATTTTCTCATCCAATTGACCCGACCCAATTTTTATTACCCCGAGTCGGGAGAGGGCAGACAAACATTAATTAATAGATAGCCTTGTGGAAAAAAATAACTTGATTCATCTATTGAATTAAAAATTATATTAAAACATAGAGCGGTATCATTTTTTTTTAAAAACAAGTATATATATATATATATAGAAAGCACAAGAAATTCACTTTTTTTTAATAAGGATATCCACTTCCGCCCCAGCCCGGGGTTGAACTCTCGACCTACGGAATCTTTCTCCTAGCAGTACAGGAACAGCGCGTTAGAAAGCTCGGTTATCTAGCCAAGTCAAAAAACTTGCTTTCGATGCCGATGGAATTCTCACAGCGCCGCCCTACACTACACGGTCATTGAGAATAGAAGTAAGATACAGTTATTTGAACGATAGTTTTATTAGAGGATCGTTACCAATCCACGTTGTAATGAAATTAATTTTATTTATTAAGCACAATTTACAACAACTCTTAAACTAACATAACTGCCCTAAGTGAAGAAATATTAAAATAGAAAGCACAAAGAAATTCACTTTTTTTATAAGGATACCCACTTCCGCCCCAGCCCGGGGTTGAACTCTCGACCTACGGAATCTTTCTCCTAGCAGTACAGGAACAGCTATATATAAACTTCCTTTGTGCTGTAGAAATATTATATGTACATGCAATGTTGATATAAACAATGAGTATGTATCTTTTTATATTAACATTTATATTAATATTTATACATATGTTTAATGTTATATGTATGCATATAAGCTCGTCAAATATATTGGATAGAAAATACAGTCAACTTTTAATCAGTTAATGTAAGATATAACTGCTTTCTAAATGTTACAATCGGTCAATCATATATTAAAGAGAGACTGATACTCCGTGTAATTTGTATCAATCAATAGCGGTGTATAAAACTCCCGGATTTAGTTATCTGCACCAGAACTTACGGAAGCACTCCAAAAGGAGTAGAACAAATTTTCCATATAACTCCCGTAACAACGATAAAATAAAAGATAATTTATAGAACTTCTGTCCGTGACAATGTTTTGTGTGAAGTCGGGGCTAGTTATTGTTTGTCTGTTTGTCGTTGGAGTGGATTCCTACTGGTACCAGTATTTGGGCAGTGGACCCTTCTTTAACAAAAACTGGAAACCACACCGCAGAAGTCTAACTGTGAGTTTTGTGTTTTGAACTGTTTAAATCTATTCTTTATCCAATTAGAGATCACGTATATTTGAACGAAGAAAAAAAAATCCTGGAAAGCTTTATCATCGTGTCAATTTTCCTATTTTGTCCGATGATCATCAACCATATATTTCAAAATATTTTTTCAAAGCTCAAATCGGATACAGACTTTATGCATCTTTCATTTTGAAAGATGTAGGTACGGTATGGGCTTTATTGGGTCCTAAAATTTAAATGTTTTCAAAAAGTTTTGATATTGGTTTAAATATGAGTTGAGTATATGAATGTGATAAATCATGAAAGAATGTGACATGAAGGGGGGGGGGGAACATTCTGGAAATATCAACATTAATTTGATACATTTCTAAGTTTTAAACAGAAAAAGCCTCAAAATGACTCAATTCAGGGGTTATTTTCCTTAAGAAAATGGTGTCCACAGCCATCGCCCACTTCAGTTGTCGGATATGTTGTGTAAGCGTCTTTCAAAAATCACATTTCTCAAAATCTTTGTGGGTGATGCATGTAGTCTATACTATTTGTAAGATAATTCCACTAAAAATTGATGTTTTCGGCAACTTTTTAAGAAAATACGGAAAAATGCACAAGTTAGCATTTAGGAGGTCATGTAAGAAAATAATTTGTTTAATTTTACTGCATGGGATTTCAACGATTCAGAAAATATGAGTTTTATTTTCTTACATCACTATCATATTTTAGAAAAAAAAAAATATAGGGCCAGATTTGTGTAGAAACAGCGCCTTGTTCTTTTTCTTTAGATATATTGTGATATATTTTAAAAAGTGTTACAGAGTGCATCCTATTTTGACACAGTTGAACTGCTCTCACCAATATGCATCTTAGCATGGAGTTTGATTGACAAAAATATTTTGAAAAGTAAAGGTCGAGAGCATAGGGAAGTTGAAGGTCAAAAAAATTGACGCGGTTAATTTGATCTCGTATGTACCATTGTATGAAGTTTGATGAAAATATTTTGAACGGCTTTTTAAAAACTAATGCAAATTTAAAATTAATTGCAAAATGAGGAAAAGTGAGGTCAAGGCCACGTGGAAAGTAAAAGTCAGGGGCCCGTTTTACAAAAGAACTTACGACTAAGACCAAAAACTTTAGTTGATTGTAAAATTTTGCAAAATTAATGATTCTGTTTACAATTGCTAGCGTAAAAGTATCTTTCTACATACTTGTTAAAAAGATTAAAACCATTTTCTATTTCATGTAAATTAGAAAGTTACTAGTATTAGCAGAATTAAATTTTGGTCTTAGTCGTAAGTTCTTTTGTAAAACGGGCCTCAGAAAACAATGACGTAGTTGAATTACTCTTCCCGATTGAAATCTTTATATGAAGATTTTGAACAGTGTCTTTGAAACTGAGCTAACAGCAAAGTGTTCAAGTTCAAGTTCAATTTATTCACCCAAACCAAAATATTGGTACATGGGGTTCATTAACAACATATATACATTATATACAATCTGGTCAGAGGTACATATACAAAACAAAAAACATGACATATGATTGAAAAAGAAAATAAATAAATAAGAGAGGGGAAAATATATATCAAGGAGGACAGACAGCATCATAAATTTTTAAAATAAACATACATAATTTTTTCAGCATTTTTTCATTTTTGGTTGACATTAATTCCATAAATTTAATAACATTAGGTCTGTGGGAAAAATAATTGCCCAGGTAATTTTTTCTTACATTAGCTAAAGTTTTACATTCTAAGATATAATGAAATTCATCAGCAGTTTGATTATTATTACAAAGTGTACAGATTCTATCACACAGTGGTATACCATACCATCTTCCAGTCTCTACTGGCAGATGATGATTTGCAGTTCGAAATTTTATAAATATTTTTCTAAATTTAGGAGATAACTTATCAATATAATGTTCAGATCCAAAGTTTTGTTTAAAGATTCTGTAAATCTGTCCTTTTGAAGAATTATTTACGTCACTAGACCACTTTTGAATAAATTGATCTTGTAATATTTGTTTTACAGTAGCAGTTATCCATTTATAATTCATATTGACACCCTGTTCGTACCATACATTTGATAAACCACACATATTACATATTTTCTGTATACAGTCTAACCATGGGTTTGTTAAGTTTCCATCACTGTAGAGTTTAAACATATGTTTGTATAAAACATTTACAATTTTATTTGGCGGGCCTGAAAAAAGCTTTGCCCAATATGAGATCATTCTACAATATACCGTAATATACAGAGGAAAGCGACCTGTTTCACCATAGACCATGTACGATGGTGTGGAACTTTTCAAATTAAATACATACTTTATAAACTTCAAGTGCAAACGCTCAATAATATCAAGATTTTCATAGCCCCATATTTCAGAGCCATATAGTAAGACTGGAACTACAACTCTATCAAAAAGGTCAAATTGACAGTCTACTGGTAATTGGAATTGTCTAATTTTTCTTATAATGCCATACATCGCTTTTTGTGCTTGTTCATATAAGTGTTTTTTTGTTTTACAAAAGGAACCTGTGCGTGAAAAAACAACGCCTAGATATTTAAACTCTCTAACATTTTCAATAACTAAGTTGTCGTAATAAAATTTTCTTTTTAACATAGGACCCTTTGAAAATACTAGAATCTCCGTGTAACGGTCGGATAAACGAAAGAACGGAGAAGGAAGGGATGGAAGCCGGACACGGTAAACACTATATGCCCCGGGCAAAACATGGCGGGGCATAAAAATATATTCCTTGATGCAATACATAGATGATTAGAATTTTTTTGCGGATCCAGTAGAGAAAGCGAATGCCACACAAAATACAAATTTAATTTTTAAACGATCACAACATGCACGTATTTATGTAATCCAGATTTAATCTTCTATTATACAGGAGTATTTATCGATTATTTAATCATTGGATAAACTTTTGCTTACTGTCGTAATCCAGTTCTCTTTATTAAAAGTTTGTTGTCTATGTTGTAGTAAGATTGATTAAATTAGCGTCTCTTAACAATATTCACGGAATAGGAAAATCCTGCGTCTCCATCTTTGACCCCATACACGTATAATGATTGTCATAACCCTAGGGCCAAAAGTATACAGGTATTTTCGAATTTACAAAAAAAAAATCTTTTTTCATCTATGTTCGTAACGTAGTCTCTGAAAAAGGAATGAAAATGTGGGGAAATCCAGTATCTCCATTATAAATCGTACAAACTTAAAAATCTCTTCTATTTCCTCCACTTAAGGCACAACTTTTCCTAAAATTTTATTAACACACATTCGTGATTATATGAGAAACAGTTGAGCACATCAGTCAGAAATCTTAACCTCTTTGCATCCTAGAGCTAATGAACAGATTTCAAAGGGTTTTTTTTGTATGTGTGTCTTTCGTGCAAGTAAGACTTGAGTACAAATTTTGACAGACCTGATTTGAATAAATTTGCCCTGCATCTCTGGAATTTCGTGATTAGTAGCTTAAAAAAGTACAATTAGACTATCATGGCAATTATACTCGACTTTTTCCCTCGAAAATTTGAAGTTTAACACGATGTGAATCCGTACAATAATTGCAATAATATATTTTAAGGAATTCATGTAAATTTTTACGAGCAATGATTCAAGTAATTCATTTCTCCTTCTTTAGAAATTAACATTTGGTCAAACTACATCTCTAAGAGCACCTTAACCAATATATCAATCTAATTAGACATATCAATAAATATATACTAACAAAGGATATTCTGATTGTATTGTTTGATATTATTACTCTTTCATAATGAAGTATCGTCTTTTCTTTCTTGTTTTTATTCTACCGTCTTTTTCAATTATTATTTCTTTTTTAAACTCACATGTAAAATTTTTATTCTCTGTTTGTATATGGTGAGTAAATGAATAGAAAAAATTGAAATTGAATTAAAAATAATTTTGAATCAATATTTTCCAATAGTACGCACTGTAATGAAATCAAAATTGTGACCGAGCTTATACTCCGAAGACGCAACTGATGCATTATTTCTACAAAAAAATTTGGATGAATTATACTAGTCAGGCCCGTAGCAACGGTTTAAAAGGGGGGGGGGGGAGGGGACCTCCCGAAAAAATCTGGAACCCCCCCCCCGAAGAAAACTACACTGTCCAAATCCTGCAATTTACCAGTGCTCGATCTTACAGAACAAACAAAAGGTTGGGGGACCAGCATAAGTCCCCCTCCCCGCGTTCTACGGGCCTTTAGTTGTATATGGAACAATTAACGTTTCCAGTCCGTTTGCTATGAAGCCTCTACTATTGTGGAATTCGATTTTTTCTGAATTAGAAGTTTTCCCCGTTTCCAAAACTTTATCATAACTTTTCAAATGCATTTTTATAAGTATCACAGTGAAAAATTCACTGTTCAAGAAAGAACTTTATTTTGGATTTTACTTTTCAATTTTTAAGTTGTGTCATATTTTATTTCTCACGATATGTTTCGCGAATCTAATTGTTTAATTGACCATTGACACTTTTTGGACTTTTGATCTGTTATAACAAAGAGACAGAGTGCTATGTCTCAAGAACTGCTAATCTCTTATAACAACATTGTGTAATTATCTGTTTTTCATTTCCAAACATCAAAGCGTCATTGAGTTTATTTAATTACTCCATACCTGTGAATCTTTTACTCATTTTACTAAATGTCAACACCTGCCATTTATTTACTCATTATGTACATTCTTATAAATAGTCATGTATAATTTCAATCTTTAGTCTGGAATATACGAAGGCTAGTCTCGGCCACGTCCGACTCGTCAGGACTCTGAGTCCGGGGCCACTTCGGCCAGATCCGACTCGATCATTTTTAAAATGTCTGATTGTTGATTCATGTAAACTGTTGCCATCGTTGAGACTCATCTAATAAATAGGGAATCCTTCATCATTTGTTTTATCTCTCTGGAATTGCATATTGGTGGACCTTCGGGAATACGGCACACCTATACTTTGTTTTTACCTCACGGCCACACAGCGCCTCTACCTATACCTCGTACCCCCTTACGCCAACGTTCCCTCACCCCGTTCGTTCTGCAAACAACGGATGCTGTTCCAGACGAATTCCTACGTACCGTCCAAATCTACACGGTCACATAAGCACCGAATGAATGAAAAGAGCAAAAGGCTATAATATGTAAATGTCGACAAGCATGGAAGTATTTGAATTAAAGCATCATTAAAATTATCAAGAAGAAATTCGCATTTGACAGGGAAACTTCTTATGTTCTGTAGATAGGAATAATTTAATTTGACCACATTTCATTTACGGCAATAGGCCCGACCTGCTGATGAAACGTAATCGGCAGTCGAGAGTATTCGAAAGGAAACGGATTCCTGCAGGATAAATGATATCCTTGAATATAAGCCATTCATTTCCGAGGTATAGATTAATGAATGAGGTATCATGAGTATCGTTTAATTTGCATACTTGTGGGAAATCCTCATTAGAGGGAAAATTGATTCAGAAAAACTCATCAGTGTAAAGTTCCAACCTATCCAATTCTTCAAGTTCTTTGGTTACTGCATTCTATACTGGTTAAGATAATACTTGACTGGCTTTTGTTTGTATTTTACTCCCACTTAAAGCCTGTTTATTGAACTTAAAAATCCTCATTTTGTCACCAATACTAAATGATTACAAAAAAAAAAAAGGATTGCAGACTGAAATAATGCTGAAAAGATTATATAAATAAAAAGATAATATACAAAAAACAAAATGGTGGCAATAAAAGATCTTAGACATATAAAATCTCTCTCAGTTCAACAATAATAACATGAAAAGCAAAAGTGGTAATCATATATTTTATTAAAAAGAAATATCAAAATGCGTTGGTCGATTCAATTGTTGCATCCCTCCAAATGAACATATAAATCTTTGAGAACACTAAGTATGCCAATAACGTTGCATTTTATATGCGCTGTATCATTATCCTCAGTGAGGGAGGGACATATTCCATATCTCATTTAACAAAGGGATGTAGTTATCTTTCACAGTTTGGGGACAGGGCAGTAAAATTGTAAATCCATTATTGTTCTTAGGCATCCATCACAGGGCGAAAATGACATTTTACTGCAGATATTACGGTACAGAATAGCAGAAAATTGTTCGGATCAATCCTAAATGATGGGAGGAAATAGATTTATTGCTGTCGAGCACGCCCTTTCGTACTTCACTGTAAATCGGCAAGAATTTACGGAAAATTAGCAATAAATGACTTCTATTTTTGACAGATGCGTAAAAGATCTTTAAATTCAAGAAAATTATATTTTCTTCTTTACGTGCAGTCACTCATCAATGCTGAAGCGCAATATTTTCTAATGAATCACAAAAAAAAAAATGTCTATGTACAGGAAAATATTGTCTGCATAAACAATCTATATTCCACGTTTCTCCTTTTTATGCTGGCTTTTAGCTTCTATACACTGCATACTTTTATGGAGGCTTTAAAGATCCTCTATACACTGCACACTTTTATGGAGGCTTTAAGGATCTTCTATAACTTGCACACTAAAAGAGTTCTAATTCCTCGGTATATTTTCTGCAGTTAGAATGATCTCCCTTTAGAGTTAAAAAAAAAATGATTGAAAATCTACAGAGTATTACTTAATTTGTAATTAATTTACGCATTATTAACATTTTATTAGATAGATGAATTCAATATTAACGCCTTTAAATGATATAATTTTCTCAATATTTCCCAATGTTCAGAAAATATTTTTCGTTAGTGTTAAGAGGGTCCTTATTTTGCTTAAAAATAAAAGTCACGGGTCATTCGGATGAAAACTTAATGTAACAAGATGTAAAAAAAAACTGAGGTCCCATCTCACGGTAGGCTTCGGCACAATAAAGAAACCTCGCTGCTCAATGGCCGCCCTGAGTGCCGAGAATAGGTCTTAATTTGAAGCCCTTCACCGGAATATGATAACATCTCCATATGAATGAAACATTCTCGAATGGGACGAAAAACAACATACAATTCGATGACCTATAATAATTGGTGTACATTTTGCTAGAAGGGCTATAAAGTAAAACTCGCTTATAAGAAAGACAATGGGACTTAAAAATTTGCTTCCTTAAAACCGAGATTACTGTATAGCATTTAATGAAGCGGACTCTTTTTAAAGTGATAATACTATTTAAATTAGGTTACCAGTAATTACAATTTGATGAACTGTGAGTTCTTAATCATAAAAAGTAAAAATTACGAATGATTTCTATGCACATGGGTATGTGTACTAGAATAATCCCTTGTGGGAACATTTACTTTAACAGAAAACTTTCCGAGGGAAGGTTTACTATAAAGTATGCATTTCAAGGGGGAAGATTTACTACATCGAAGTATTTCGTAGAGTATTTGCGGAAACAACATGGTGGAACTCATTTAAATTCAAAAGAAAAGTCGAATATCTTTTTTAACAATTTAAATTAAAAGAAAAAACTTCATTTAATCTTAATTTTGCTTTAATAATGGTTTTAGAAAGAACAAAAGATTTTTTAAAAAAGAAAGAAATGCAAACAAAATATGTAAAAACTTGACACATGTACATGTAAATATCATGATACTGGTATAATTATTGCGACATCGTTCTTAAATATCATGATATATCGAGAATACACAGCCCTAATAACAAAGTTACAAGGAGATAAAATCGAAAATGATCCTTATGTAATAAGCGATGTTACATTTCCCCTTGACCGACCTCAAATAGTAGACCGATCCGTCCTTCTTTTTCCAAGGAAAAATGATAAAACGTTCTAGATGCATTAATATTGTACGCGTGAAGGAAATTGAGTGGTGTCTACATTAGAATCTGATAAAATGACTTGTCATTATGGTCTGTATTATGTTTTCAGTGTGCTGAAACAGATGAACAATGTGGACATACAACCCAGTGCTGTGACCCAAAGAATGTGTGTTTGAAGGACCGAGAGCAATCGGTATTAATAGGTACTGTAGTAATTATGCCATATTGTGATATTCTACAAGCAGAATATAAATATTTCTTTAGTAAATGTTCACAGAATGATATTTTCCTTCTCTTTTTTTCGAACATATTCTTAAAATGTTGAATTTTTTACATATATATTTTTCTTTCGTTTACTGATTTTGACATTTATTTGGTTGTTAAAAGGTCGGGATATTGGGATTTGCAAAAACATTGAAAAGCTGAAGCCCGATCCAGAATTTCTCAAACCACTAGGTAATGTTTTAGTCGGGTCTCTTCCAGTAATTACTTGAGAAAAAAAACGTCGAGCCGAAATGTTGATTTCTATTTTCTTATTATTCATCGACAGGGGCGAAGTGTTCCGATAGTACGGAGTGTGGAGCTGGTCTCTGCTGCAGGGGCATCTTCCGTTTTCGATATGGCAAGGTTTATCGGTGTGAGAAAAGTGATAGCCCATTTATGTGTATTTCAAATGATGCGTTCGAGTATTAAATAAACTTATGCTAAGTTCTTGTTTAATAACTTTTGTTCAAATTTAACACATACCTACTCATTAAGTGATATTCCACCAAGTGACAAGACCATACCTATGTTTCAGTATAAACATTTCCATTGAATTATGCAAGCTGTAAAATAAATATAAGCTTTGCTACACTTTGTTTGCGTTTTTCCTTCTTGAGGTAATACAGCACTGTATATCTTAATTACATATATATTATACAATAATGATAAAAATAAAAGCTTTGTTTTCATTGATTTACAAATAAACAGTGATAAATCATGAACTGGTAATGAGAATTTATTTTTCGTCTTCGACGTCCCTAACGGCCTTCCTTACCCCGAAGACTCCTTGTGTTAAGCTGGATCGAGCCTCTTTTTTAGCTGCTTAAAACTTTTTTTAAAATATCTTTAGAACGATTAAATAAATAAATATCCACCATGCTACCCAGAATGAGACAGAAATGCTAATTTCAGTAACCAGCGGATATGGAGACGTTGACGAAGTAAAACACAATCTAAAATTTAATCTTATTCGCCTGTCCGTTCTTAATTTGTCTGTCACAAAACTTTAACTTTGTAATTGCTTTAGAATGAGAGAGGATAAAGCTTTTATATATCACATGTGCTTTACCTGTGACCTTTCCGAATGTACTATGATTTCTGACCTATGTCCTTGTCATTTGACCTTCTTTTAAAAAATTTACTTTTGGTTGTAACTTCTGCACGAGAAGAGACAGCCCTTTCTTATTTCTCACATGTGCATTCGATTTTTGACTTCATGACCTACACTTCGAAGGTTAACTTTCAAAAATCTCTATTTGGGCCTTAACGTTTGCACAAGAACATTTTACTTTAAGAATATATAACTTTTTTCTAGCAGAAAGAACAGACAAGGTTTACATTAGGCCATATATCATTGCACCCCAACCACTTACACCCTGAAAGCGGGGAACCACATTTCTCTGAATTTATTAGTATACCTATTATTAATTATCTATTGGTACACCTAGTATTTCACTGAAATTCTATGATCATAACTCTCTAAGATATCTTACTTTACAGGGACAAAATTGACCCTGTTAGTAAATGTAATCATTTTTACCGACAATTATGAAAAAATGTAGTCCACTCACGAGTTTATTATATATCGTTATAAAAAGCCTGTTAATTCTATACGACAGGATCGTTATCTCGTTATAACGAGTTAGTATATATCGTTAAAACGAATACGTTATCTCGCTATAATGAGAAAATTACCTCATTATAACGAATAGATATCTCCAGTCTGATTAAAATCAAACGTTACCTCTTTTTATTTTGATTGTCGCGTGAAACAAAATACATGTAACTAGAAAAATTGTAACTTTATGCTGCACGAATTGTCACAGGTTTAACAACTATAGCCTCGAAAGATTCACTTTACTTCGAAACGGGATGGGAACCACTTAGTTGTAGAAGACAGACAGCAAGATTAAAGACATTTTTTAAAATGCAAAATAATTTAGTATCAGATTATCTAATGGACATACTTCCCAATATGCGATGCAATACATCTAGCTATTCCACTAGAAATTCGGAAAATTATGATATTCCAAAATGTAGATTACAGACTTATAAGTCGTCGTTTATTCCTACTGTAGTTAATGAATGGAACTCATTACCACTTGAAAATAGAAACTTACAACTGTTGTCAAATTTTAAATCTAAAATAAGTATTAAAAAATCTGCCCCACCGTCATACTTTGAATATGGTAACAGGCGACTGAATGTTCTCCAGACCAGACTTCGACATAATTGTGCATTAAATATTGACCTATACAGATGTAATTTAATCTCAAGTCCTTTATGCTCATGTGGCGAAAAAGAAGATTCGTATCATTATTTTTTTTTATGTCCAAAGTATAAAGAAGCCAGAAAGGAATTTCTTGATAAATTTTTATTATTTGATAAAATTCACATTTTAGATACACATGTTTTATTATGGGGGATAGATTCATTGAGTGCTGTGGAGAATGAACGTCTTTTCTGTTTTGTTCAAACTTTTATTAAACATTCTGGCAGATTTACATGTTAGTATTAGTATTATTATAAATATATTTATATATATATACATGTATATACAAAATTATATATGTATGATTTTTTAAAATGTATTGATTTGTAAATTTCACTAATATTGAATATTTTGAATGTACATATTTAACTGTGACCTAATTTAATTTAATTTAATTTTTGTAATTTACATGTAGGGAGAGGGCCTAATAAGTTTTTAGAACTTGTGCCCAATCCCTTTGTAATTAGAAACTACAATAAAATATGTTCAAACCAACAAAATATAAAGGAGCTAGTGAAGGTTTGATTTTAATCAGACTGATCTATCTCCCTATTATGAGATATCTATCACGTAATTATAAGATATTAATATCTCTATTACGAGAAAGTTATCTCTTTAAAACGATTAAGTATATTATTATATAATGAGTTTCTATTCTCATTATAACAAGATACGGTAGTTACTATAGTAACTCGTTATAACAAAATAGTTATCTTGTAAGAACGAGGCAGTATCTTAATTGTAAGAGATAAATAACTCGTTATAACAAAATAGTTATCTTGTAAGAACGAGGCAGTATCTTAATTGTAAGAGATAAATAACTCGTTATAACAAAATAGTTATCTTGTAAGAACGAGGCAGTACCTTAATTGTAAGAGATAAATAACTCGTTATTACGAGTTAATAATCTCATTATAACGAGTTATTTATTTCGCTAAAACGAGATAATAATTGGTATTTTAAGATGATTCTTTCATTTTTTTTTTAAGTCAAGAATGCCAGACTTAAAAATAATCTGAGTCAAGTTCATAAAATTTGTGTATTTTTCTCAAATTGTGCATATTGTTAGTTTTTTTTTTTAAACCTCTGTAGTCTGTGCGCTAATGAAAAAGTTTTATCGTATAAAGGTGTAAATATTTCTATTAAGTACAATTGTTTCAATTTCAACATAGGGTACTAGTTTTTTTCTCCAAGGAAAAATGTTAAATGACAACAAAATTCTGATGAAAAGAAATCACCGCTGCTTACTTAATTAAATAGGATAAATATATCAATTAATGTTCAATAAATTCATCTTGGCCTAATAAAATATTAAGAAAGCTTAAATTAATTACAAATTGAGTATTTAAATTATTTTAGATCTAATGGTAGATTACTCTAACAGCAAAAGTACATGTACTACAGAATTAGAACTCTTGAGTTCGCAGTTAATAGAGGGTCATTTCGGAACAATAACATACTAGTTTGTAGTTTACTACATTTAATTAGTGTTCACTACTGAAAAGAGGGAATAAATATGTCTGTCTGTGATATATTTTTGTGTCGCATGCAGACACTTGGCGGCACTTAGGGATCACTTCAGCCGGCGTCTGTCTGTCACACCCTATATCTCGAGAATCGTAAGAGGTATGGGTTTGATAATTTGCACATATATTGCTTGGCACTATGGCTTTTGTAAATAACCATGGTTACCGATTTCGGGACCCTTGACCTTTGACCAACTTTTCAAAATAGTTCATAGTGCCGATATACAGCATATTTTTGACATTAGAGACAAGTGTATGCTATTCAGCATGTGCACTGTTTGTCACAAGACACTATGAAACATACCAGCATTACAATCCAAATGACATTGACCTTTGACCTACTTTGCAAAAAATGCCTCGGGCAGTTTAATTAAACTTAATATGTATTTTGAATTTTGAGAGGCAGGATTTTTGTTTATTAGCATTTATATATGTTTATGAGCTCATGATACTGTACTTTGAAACTATGATATTCATTTACCAAACAAACTTATACTTAAATACTATGAAAATACTTCGGGATTGGTATTCCACAATGAATCGTATAGACTGCAGTAAAGACAGACTGAAATCTCTTTTAGAGGATTGTTGTAAACACATTGAGCTCAAGATATAGTACTTTGAAACTGTATGATATTCAGTTACCACACAGACTTATATTTAAATACTATGAAAGTATATCGGGATCGATATGCCACAATGGACCGACAATTGCAGTACAGACAGACTAAAATCTCTTTGGAGGATTGTTGGAAACACGTATTAATTAATAAAGTGGTAAATATTTATTTTTAATAATTTCAATTTAATTATTCATTTGAGGGTTAGGGAACCATATTTCAATTTAATTATTCATTTGAGGGTTAGGGAACCATATTTCAATTTTTCATTTGAGGGTTAGGGAACCATATTTTATTTGATTGTCAGATTCTATCGCAGTCTTATACTATCCTTTCTTTGCAGGCAAATGCAGGAACTATCATGCTAATTGTAAATAAGAAGCTGGTCACTCTTAAATTTATTTACATCTTTAATGAAGCAACAAAGCAGGCTACACATGCGTTTCTTGGAACACTCTTAGAGAGTTTAATACGGTAATAATGTACAGTCACTTATATTTCTGTCGCCTGCAGAGCAGAGCGACAGTTAGGGATCACTTTACCCGGCGTCTGTCTGTCTGTCCGTCTGTCACACCTTATATCTTGAGACCTATAAGAGGTACGAACTTGATATTTTGGGCATGCATTGCTTGGCACTGTATGGTTTTTGAAGAACACCATAATTACCAACCCGGTGACCTTTCAACATTACCTTTGACCTACTTTTCAAAATAGTTCCTAATACCGATATACAGCATATTTTTTATATTTGAGAGGTAAGTCTGAGCTATTTAGCATGTGTAGTGTTTGTCATAATACATTACGAAAATACCAACGTTAAATGCCACTTGACCTTGACCTTTGATCTACATTTAAAAAACTCTGAACAGTTTATCTTATGCCTTATGAATTTTGAGACGCAGGGCTTCGATAAGTACAACATATATTTACATGTAACATGTTTATGAGCTCATGACACTGTAAATGTGACTTCAGTATTTTACCTTGTTAAAAAAGAGCCTCTCCGTACTCAAGGAGTTGTCCAAAACAAAGAAAAAGAAAGAAAATAATGCAGCTGTTCATCTTCTGTTTCTAAAAGCGTCTGTGGAAACATCAGCTAATGCGAAGGTTAAAAGTTCGTATGTACATGCTCTTATTTACAATCCTTGGTTCTTGTTGAACGGCTGTGACGGTGC